ATATCTCAAATTATTTTTTTGATCTTTGAAGGTGATTCTCAGATTACTATTTTGGAAAAAAAAAACTCAAAATCACATGTATAATGAACCTATGTACAGCCTGCAAACTGAAGAGTTATGTTTGAACAACACTACCTACAGATGTGGTCTGAATTCTAAGTGTTTTATTGGTTGGTTTACATACACACAGTATAGAAGAGGTACTGCATACTGTGTAATTGCACTGTTCTTGATGAGACCATCACACACAGTTGCAATGATTTAACCAGCTCCTTACAAGAATATAGAAGAGCATATTTCCTGCTTACAGGAACTGGAGTTTCAACACAACAGTCAGACAGTAATCAGTTGCCACAGGTAGCCTTGATTCCATCAAATTCACATTCTTTGTCTATAGTAAGAGATTTAACAAGTCTCAATATAAACCTTAAAAAAAAATAACCAAAACCAAAACAAAACCCTAAACTCAGAAAGATACGGCAAGCTGCCCTTCTGCCTGCTGTGCAGTTAAGACACAAAGCAAGCTGTTTTCAATCTAAGAAATAAAGCAAGAGACTGCCAGATGCAAAGGCAATGCCATTTGATAGCTCCTGTGTTTCATTTATTGCTGGGTTCTACATCTGGGGCACCTACAAACTCAACATCAACTCAACTCAACATCAGCTATTGGCCAACCCCCGTTTCGTTCTCCGTAATTCACAGGTTCAGATTTTAAGCATTTTGTGATCACTAATTCTTGCAGTGGGACTACAAAAGCATGCATGAGTTTCAGGACATCACAACTAAATACAATTCAGTAAGCACACATCGGAAACAGGTTGCCCAGAGAAGTTGTGGCTGCCCCATCCCTGGCAGCATGGTCAGTTTAGATAATGGCAAGAAGTTTGACTAGTTCACAGAGTTGGAAAGGAGACAGCTGATTGAAAAGAAGTAAATGGACACACCAATAACTGGGTGAGATGCTCCCAGCAAAAAACTGTAATAGGAATGATGTGTGGTACTGCTTGTTTCCTTCCTCATGGCAAAGGGACTCATCAGCTCACAATTGACGGTGATGCATGAATGAATCAGAACCTACATTTCTGAGAAAACATCTACAGGCAGAAACAGAGAGGTGGAAAAAACCCATTCAGAGTTATTTAAAAAATCCACAAAGAAAGATCAGTGTCTCAACAGACCTTGATAATTCTAAGTACCACTGTAACTTGTCTGAAAGTCTTCCATGTCTACGTAATGTGTAAGACTCAGTACAGAAAGTGTCACTGAAGTTATCTGGAATGACCACTGTAAATTTAAGAGATTGCTGATGCTCATAAGGAAGACTCTTGGAGGCAGACCAGTACCTGTTCCCAGTCAGGTTTGTTTAATCTGCAAAGCTGCTGCTGAAATCTAGAAGAGGGTGATAAAAAAGTCAGGATCATAAACAGAACTCTGTTCCTTCATAGAGACCAGCTTGGTTTCAGTTAAGAATTATCTGAATAATTCAACTGTAATAATATCAACACATGCTGTTATTTTATTCAAGCAAAAAGCATTAGCTTGCAAATAATTTCTTTGAAGCCCTGTAAGGAATGACACTAAATTATACTCATTTCCCACCCAATGCTTTTCAAATTAATTATATTCCATTCTCACACTTTCTTACTATCACATGGCCAGTTTGAGTATGTGTAATGGCTTCTGGCACAGCCAGAGTGTCTTCACCAAAGCACAGCTTTGTGCTGATTTGGTCAGGAATTGAAACGGGGAAAAAGAGTTACTAAGCAACAGCAGGCCAGTAGCAGGAGAAAGGTCTGCAGTCTTAATTGATACTAACTTTAAAAAGCAGTGCAACAATAAGAGAAGGATCAAGATGTGAATTTTACTACTTCAAAGGGAAAATAAATCATCATTAGAAATCCCAGACAGGCAGTCTTCATGAGATCAATCCCACCTATAAGCTACATGTATTGCAAACACTTTTTTTTTTTTTGGGGGGGGGGGTTGAGTAGCTTTTTCTCATCACTGAACAAGAAAGATACTGCTCTTATTTGAGAATGCATGACACAGACACAATTTTGCTCTCTAGGAGCTCTCTATTCCTACCTCAGGAAAGAGGAATGTGGTATAAATTACAGCTATATGGGTCCTCACTCAAGACATTGGCACCCACAGAACTGGTATCATGTCCAGATACAGCTCTCCTTCCTCCTCATTACTTATGGCTAAGAAGGTTGCTCCTTTCTAGAAAGCCAGCTCAAAGTCGAGTCAAATCACTCAGGCTAGGACAAGGGAATTTGTTTAGCTAAATCTCTATTAACATGATCAAGCAAGGAGAAATCCTGACAAGTTTCCTTCCAGAATCTGTATCTACTTCCTCCTCTTCTACTGTAAGCAAAGTAGTTTCATGAGGATGTGATAACAGAACATGAGTTATCACATGAACACTTACAAATTCAAATGAAAAGTCCTTGATGTGGAAAGTGCTGTGAACTCTACTTCTGAAAAATCAACCTTTATTTGCCTAGCTAGCAGTACCTCATGCAGAAGTTATTTGCTTTAGCTTCACCTGAAGAAAACCTGATTTCCTATTGAAATACTGCCTTTTTATAAGATGAAAGTTATATAGGCTTTTTCTTTAAAGGAGCCAAACACATACAAAACACCATACCAATATGTACCTGATTACCTCATGTTACTGATCCTTCCAAATGATTACCTTTTCTTACCATTTCTGCATTCTTTGATTTGGCACTTATTTAAGCATACTAGATTTCAGCATTTACTGGTTTTCCCACATACTCTGATGTACTTAAAGTGACTAAAATGAAACCACAAGAGGGAAAACTACTAGGGTGACTGTTGCTGAGGAGGAAAAACCAGCAACCCAGGTCTGGTTCACTCAAAATGTCTGATGATTCGTATTTAAAGTGATGAGAGTTACAGTCATCTTCTGCTCTGGTTTGTATTGCTGCAAGTCAACTGAGTTTATGAAACAGGACCTGGCACCATGAAGAGAGGACTGTCCCTTCACAGGATACGAGTAATAGCCACTTGAGTAAATGCAAGTTACTCATATCCTGCTAGTGGACTAATCTGTCTCTGTATATTCATGCACATTTTTAGTTGCCTCCAGGAATCTGAAGGCGAATCTCATTTGCTACCTAATGAAACTAATTTCACCAGATCTAACACAAGCATACTGAAAAAACACGATTGCTCATACATGAGGTATAAGCAGTGCAGCATTTCCTAAGTTCTGTTTGATTAGGGTCCACCTCTAAACACTCACCATTCACCACACAAACCTCAATCTCCCAGGTTGGCTATGGTACATTCCCAGCTGATTTCCTCAAAGTCTTAAAGAGCAATTTGACCTCTTTTTTATCCACAACGCTCCTGTTATTCTTTCAAACTGAAGCGCTTCCCAAAGAGCAGGGTGCCAAGAGGAACATCTTCCTCAGAGCCTGAGAACTTATCTTCTCTTTTTCAAACCAGAAGTGAACCATGTATTTCCCAGTTTTATTCATCTGAAATAATGGACAACACACAGTGAGCAACCAGCCAACCTTGGTGGGCATCCAAAAGTCACACACAGATACTTATTTACTATTCAAGTTTATGTATGCAGTTTTTCACACAGAATACATACGTGCACACACATGCACTCTGAAATACCTGCAAGGAGATTATTCTACATAAGAAATGAAATTGTTCTGGTACAAAATACTGTAAATTGTAAGTCTTGATAGAGCGTACACCGAAAGAAGATGAAGGCATAATCTTTGACAACTGAATGCACTGGAAGACTTTAGTGACCAAGTTGCAGAGATTAAATAATCCAGACATCTGAAGGACTGAGCCACACAACTCTCAGTAAGTCTGTTAATTCAAGATAGTACGATGACAGGAGAGTAAAAAAATTACCAGCTCATAGTGAGACAATTGTAGGCCTGTAAGCCTGACTTCAAAAGAAGTCAAGAGGTTTTGCAGGAGGCAAGAGGTTACCTCCAACAGAAGGCAAGACGTTTAGAACCATAAGCAATGTGGAGGATGGGGTAAGATGCAGTATCAGCTAATTGAAGTAAGAAGTACTATGCTAACATGACAACTCATTTCTACCTAATGAAATTACAGCAAGTCCAACCTGGACTTCAGTAAAGCATTTGATTCGGTGCCATATAGCTCCAAGACAGTTAGTGAATTAGGAAGAAACTGACATGCAAGATTTATAGAGTTCATTAAAAAAACATGTGCTCTTTAGCCAGTAATACACCACGTTTAAAGAGAAAGTAGTGGGACAGGGCAGCGTTACTGCAAGAATGGGTCTCAAGTTTTTAATGCTGGTAGCTAACAACACACAAGCCTTAAGGGTGTCGCTCCGCAGACGGGAAGCACGGGAAGATCATGTGAAATGAGCCAAGCACACTCAGACCGGCGTGAACTTCGCGGCGTAAGAGGAGAGGCCACAGCGAAAATGACCGTGAAAGCCCTGGTCGCTGGGGCGATCGCAGCCACCGCCGCTCCTGCAGGAGCCGATCTGCCCAGCGGCCCCGGCCCCGCACCGCCGACAAACTGACCGCGGGGCCGCCGCCGCTGCGGATCTCCGTGCGGGCCGGGGAGAGGCTCCAAGCTCCGGCACCAAGCCCTGCTGCTCTGCTTAGGGTCAGCCTCCAAGCTGCGGTGCTACTTGCTCTCATTTTTAGCTGAGCTTTGATCACCCCTTTTATAAATCACGCTACAGTTTGCACAGGAGAGCGCCACCAGCAAACGGACCTGGCTTCCAGATCCGGCACAAACTCCGCGTGTGCGTGCGTGTCCGCGGGAGGAGAGAGCGAGAGCTGCCAAAAGCACGTTTTTAAACCCACCGGGCTGCGCTCCCCAACCCGGCAGCGGCCCCGAGCCTCAGCAGCGCTGCCCACGACGGGACGGACCGGCTCCGGCCACAGGCCCCCTCCAGCCCCGACCCCCAGCCCCACTTGCTTCCAGCTCCCTCGAGCAGCAGGGCGAGGGAAACCTACCTGCCGAACCGCTCAGGGCGTCCTCGCTCTCCAGACCCCCTCTGTGCTTCGCCCCGCGGAGCTCCCCATTGGACTTCCAAACGAGCTTTACCATCTTGATCATCTCGGGCAAGTCCCAGGCCAGGGTCCCCTGCTGATAACCGGGCAGGCTGCCCATGGGAAAGGGCATGGGCTCTTCCCCCGTCCTCCTCCGCCTGCCCGGCTCTACCGCGGGGAAGAAGCGCTCCAGCACCGGCATCCTGCCCCGCACCCCCCGCGGGGGAGCCACTGCCAGCCCCCGGCCCGAGCAGCCGCGACGGGCATCCAGAGCGGGGCGGGGGTGCCCGGCCGCCCACCGCCACCGCCCGGCGAAGGGGGTGCGCCCCGCCGCCTCCTGGCCCCGGCCCCGAGCTGCGGGCGCGGAAGGAAGGAGCGCTGGGCTCCAACCGCCGCGCTCGCCGCCCTCCCTCCCGCCCTCTGCGTGCTCTCAGCCCGCCGCCAGGCGCCGGCAGCCGGGGCGAAGCGGCTGACGGGCAGGCGCGGAGCCGCCGCTCATGCCGGCGGAGCGCTGAGCCCCGGGGGCGGGGGCTGGGGCTCTGGCCGGCTGCTGATGCCGGCAGGGCCGGGCGGGCAGAGCCACCCCTCTCACCCCACTGTTCGCGAAGGAGGAGGCTGACTTTACCCCTGCCGCGGTGCCATGGGGGAGCCCCCACCCCGCCGCCTTCCTCCTCGCCCAGCTGGCTGCGGAGCCGATGGGGGTTTTGGCCTCTTAGTCACACCGGGCCGTAACCTCGGCCGCCCTTCGGCCGGGAGGAAAGGCGGTGATTGACGTCCCGCCGCGAGGGCCTGGAGCGGGGCAGGAGGCCCCCGCCTGCGCCGCTTTCGGCCGCCAGCCCGAGGGACGGTACCCAAGTAGAGCATGTAGAAGGGCAGCCGAAGGTGCCGGCGCTTGGCGGGTCAGAGAGGAACGAGCTGCTGAAATTACAGTTGTGGGGAGGGTGCGGGGTCTGCTCTGTGTCCTCACCGCTTTGGCTGCAGAGCTCCACCTGAACGGGTTCACGTCAGGACACTGCCTGGTGGCAGAGATCACTCTCAGGCTCCCAACGAGAAGACAGTTATTCATCGCTGATATTTAAAGACAAGGCAAAGCCGCCCAGGAGAGTGCTCTGTCTCATGCAGAAATGAGTTGGTGTGCTGGGGCTCTCCAGCCGGGAGCGAGCACTTCCCCTTTGGCCGGGCCTCGCAACAGCACCCGTCCTGTCCCCAGGATCCCTGCCCGGGAGGGGCCTTGCGGTTTTCAGAACTTTTATTTTCCCTTTATACAATCTGTCCCTTTTAGCTTGGTGTCGTTACCGGTCTGCCCTGTAGCTGTTAGTCTGCAGAGCGTAAAGCAGAGGGGTGGAAGGAAGGTGGACTCTTGAAAGAGCATTTGGTTTTCAGTAAATTGCAGGAGATGTATTTAATGGGATTTTAGTGGGCATTATAGTATTTTCTAGCATCTATATCTTTGTCTTGTCTGGGTTACATTTAATATTCTGCCTTCTCTGCAGATGAAAAAATAAACTGGCAAACAAACAGGATCTTCCTTCGTGGAGAAAGAGGAGCCAAGAGCATGGACTGGAAGTGAACAAACACCCTTACATGTAGAAAACAGCGTGCACGAGCCTTTTCTCTTCATGTCAGCATCAGCAGGGGCAGTGTGCTGTTTCCCCTGTTCTAGGATCCTGTACCATGTTTACGGTACCACCTCAACTGACATGTACCACCTCAGACTGACAACTCTGATCCTTTTTAAAAAACTAGCCCTGTTTTGACTGCAGGCTCTAGTGCCATTCTGTTAGCACAGTACACTTTCAGATGGCTCTGTCTTGAAAATTGTGAAGTGCTTCCAAAGTATTATACTATTGTTGTTGTACTGTTATTTGCAGAGTCCTTAGCATCAGGATATCCTGACTCTTTGAACAAAGGGGTTAAGGACAAAAAAAAAACCAAAACAAATAGATGATGTGCAGTACAGTAGCGCAAGCACTAAGACATTAATACAATCAATTTTGTGGAAAGGCAAGTTTTATTGTTTTTAAGTTTATACAGTTTCTTGTGGTGTTTTAGGGTTTTTTTTGTGTGTCAGAGTGTGTTGTGCAATTACTCTTTAGGGCAATGTTGTTCCTGTTAGAGAGGGATAAACTGGGCCAAAATATTTAGGAGGCTGCTTGTCTGTTGGGCAAATCAAACTTTAGCCCCCAATTACATAATTTTGGTTTTGAGCTACAAGGAGTTACAGTAACTTTTTGTTTTGGTAGTTGTTATTATTTTTCCTCTTTATTTACCTTTGCACTTCCTGCTCCCTGCTGGGGCAATGGTCAGAAGTGCCAGAGCACTGCAAATGGCTGTCCTGGTGGCACTTCCAGCTTCCCTGGATGCAAAAAATTACCAGATACCTGGAAAGAGAATGTATTCACAGATGCTCAGCTCAGTTTTAGATGAATACCTGAATATTTAAGTGCCTAACAGAACTTAGCCATCAGCCTTCTTGGTAGCAGCCATAGCAATCTTCTGAGTTTCCAAAATCTATCCTACATTTTTATATCCTTAAAATTGTGAGAAGTTTTATGCTCTTTGTAGCTGGGTCACTTGAGTATGTGCCTGCCTTGTGGATAGGATCAGGCAAATCAGGATCAGAATTGAAGCATTAATTGTTATATTTGCTTTCACTTACAGTTCTGCAGGTGCAAAGCAGGAGGCCGGTCAAAAACCAAACTGAAACTCATCTGTTGTTGTTACAGTTTTAGCGTTTCAAGAATCTATGTAATAAACCTAGCAGACAGTATGTATTTTTTTCTGGGAAGATTAGTGTCAAGTGAAAGCAATGGCTGTAGGTAGTATGGAGTGCCTGGAGTTGCTTTTCTTTTGTATTTCTTTTTCTCCTTTTTTCTTTTTCTTTTCCTGCTTTCTGTCCAGTTCAATTATCAGCAATTGTGAGTGGAAAAAAAAGTTAAAGTGTGTAAAAATTGTTGTCTGGCATTAGTGGGTATGTCTGTAAATTAATACATTTTATTCTTACTAAACTTGTGCTTCACAGTTGTACTCCAATTCACTGATTACTTATCCTTAATTCATCCAAGATTTTGCTGTTACTGACTTACTTTCCTTTTGTCTTTTGTGTTACAAGACTGGAGCCAGATAAAAGCTCCTCACAGGAAAGCCTGGAAGGTACATATTTGATTATGTGGTTTTCAGCATCGAAAATCAGCTGTAGCATCATCCAGAGACTTTTAAGAAACAAAATGCTCAGATTTTGCAAGTTCTCTGTTTCTCCGAGTTCAGCTCTGCTGTGATGATTTACCCAACTTGAAGATGTGGCCTCAACATAACACTTTTCATTGCTCTTGAGAAAAGCCATCAGAATTAAAACATAACATACTCCTACACATCAGTGTACCCAGCCATTTGTGACTGCATTTTAAATGGTCCTTGAGCAAGCTCAGATCACCTAAGACTTTTCTTTTGCATTCTCACAGCCAGACTTGAAGGAAATCTTTCAACAGAGATGGATGTCTTTATTGAATACTCCAAGTCAAAGAAGCTTAAGTGATTATAAGAGGAATATAAATGTAATAGCTCTGGCCTTCGCTCATCCTGAGCAGCACTGCCAAACGAAAAGGCAAGAATAGTCGTCTGAAAACCTGACAAGGCAGTGCATATTTTCACAGGTAGACATGAGAACTGGAAAAGACTTGAGGAACGGAATATTGTGGTGGGAGAAAAGGGAAGGGAGTAAGCTGACAGATTAATAGCTGGTGTTTCATAATTGGTGTCTCTTAAAAAGTTCTACTTGTTTGATTATTCACTCCAAAGTTATGTACTAAGAGCAGCAGCAGCAGAAGCGCATGCCAGATGGTAGAGGAAGTGCCTCGTGTATCTTTCCAGCCTACTGAAGCCTGCAGGGCCATTGTTAACCCACTGCTCTGGTTTTCATTGCAAGCCTCTTTCTTCCCCTTTTTTTTTTATTCTCCTTCCTTCAAAGAAAAAGGAAGAAGGGGGAAAGAGAGAAAGAAAAAAGAAAGAAAAAAAAAAGACAAGCCATGGTTTGAACTGGCAATAGCACCATCCTTTTGGCTTTGAGCTACCATGTCCTGTGCCAAATATACTGTCTCCAGCAGCTCTCCCACAACAAATCAGTCCAGACACACAAAAGCTGTAAAAAAAGAATGGTGAAGAAAGATCCTTGATTCTCCCCCTCCACTCCCCCAAGCCTTTTCCTTTTGCTTCCCTCTCCAAGCTTCATTCCCTAGCAATGACCTCCTGCTTGCCAGTGCTGTAAGTGATAGTGGGACCTTCAGCCTGCAACTGTGCTGACAGCTTCCTTAGAGTACAGGCATCTTGGGTTTTCTGTATTAACAGAGCATTGTAAAGGAGAAGTTACATTCTATTATTCTCTCCCTCTATCTGTTAGTTGATGTTTGAAAAAAAATGCTCATAAATTAGTAGAGTTGCAGATTCATTACTATTGTAAACTTTGTCTATTCTTTCAGCTAACCCACAGCACTGCACTGTGTCACAACTCACTAAGAGCTCATTCCCAAATGGATACCTGAAGAGATTTGATATTGTCTATTTATACAGCATATTATAAAAAAAAATAAAATTGGGAAAAGACTACCGATTTTTTTAACTGATTAGCAGACATTAAGTAGTCAAAATGTAGAGACCAGTTTCAAAGACTGTCAGGTACTGATTTTTAGAAAGTGTAAAGAATGTGTCTTTAGATGGAACTTATCAGTGGAATCATCTTAAATTAGTAGTCACTTATGAGAAGTATGCCTTTGCCTCTGCCGTAGGGGTAGTAGTGTCCTGCAGACATTGCCTACAGTCAGAACCAAGTGGTGACACCATCACTGGGAACAAGTTTTAGAAGGCTTCAGGGGCGTGATATGAGCTTAAAATAAAAGAGAAGATTGCAAATGCTGGGGCACAGTCCTTACACATAAAGTAAAAAATAGAAAGGTGCCTAAGAAGCTTGCAGAATATGTCAGAAGAAACATAAGCAGGCAGTTATGCAGAGTTTGCAAGAGTTTTTCTAATAACCTTCTGGAAAGTTTCTTTCATTGCGTTAAGAATCTTAGCGTAATTTTCTTATTCTTTGCCCTGGATTTGCGTAATTCCAGATGTTTATTATTTTTACTTTTATTCTTACTAAGAAAAACATTGCTTTTAGTGATCTCTACCATCGCCATCGCTTTATTAAATATGAATAATTTTATCTTTATTTGGGAACAGTTAGTATGTCTTTGCTCTACACTGGACATTGTAAATCCAATAATCTCTGTCTCAGAACCTTTTTTCCCAAGCCTGACATTATTTTAACATTTTTACTATAAATTTTCAGCTCTTTGATAACTTTTTTTGATGCATACACAAGGTACATAAAAGGAGATTTTTTTTAATCTGCTACCACCTCACTGTCAAGAGTAGTGAAATTAATTTCTAAGGGAATGGTAGGATGCACTATTTCTTATTGCCCAAGATACACACAGTATCACTCCTTGAGAGTTTCACCTACTGGGAAATGTTAAGGACAGGCAGTAGCTTTCTATGAGTTCACAGTAATCTTTTGGTTGTTGTCATCAGTCAATCAGACCCCTTGGAAAAAGTGTCTGGAAACAGAGGAGTGAGGATTGTTTGAGTTCTGTAGGGCAAGGAGCCAGTTCCTTATTCATTCTTAGCACATGTGAGATGATAGCACATTTTTATGATTAACAATTTGTACTACTAAGTAAGCAAAAATGTCTGTGGTAAAGGAATAAACAGAAGTCCATAACTAATTGGAAACAGTGAGGTTCTATAATTTTTCCATTGCCTGCTTTGGAAAATTAAAAGTTCAGCGTACTGAGTCTGACACTTAAAATCTCCCATATAGTACATGATATGGCCTTAAAGTAAATAACACATGACAGA